AGGACATCTCGCTTTACAACAATCATACTGAATAGAGCTACCACCCCGGGTTTACGTCGGGGATTCGTTCCGGAAGGATGCGTCGACGAAGATCGAAACGGCGTAAGCTCAAAGCGATTTACGGGGAGGGAAGGGGGAGGCGACGGTTAGCGATGCTGGCGAAGGAGATGACAACCTGCTCGCGGTCTTCCCTGCTGCGTGCGAAAAGCACAACGGATGTCGGCATGTTGGCGGCCGAATGCCCCACAAAAGGCATCTTGGCTTGCGAAGCAACAGCAGCAAGGGTCCATCTCAAGGCCGAAGTAATGTGAATGTCGGCCCGTCGCCTCTGATTGGTTGAAGAAGAATAAGAATATTTATTTTGGGAAAAATCTGATGAGCCATGAAGCACTTTTTTCACAGATGTCCAGCAGTTTAGCGAGTGTCAGTACACGGGTCGTACTCGACTTACGAACACAATTAGTTCCTGGGGCACGTTCGTAAGTCGAACTGTTCGTAAGTCGGAACACAGTCATATACCGTATATTTACACACAAAACACTCACTGCCAGCACGAGGCTGACTCATTTACATCTCGTGGGAGATCGCTCAGCTGAACACAAATAGCGCCGCCGTTCAATTTGCAAGTGAGAGAGAGAGTTTACTGGAAGCTGGTTCGTAAGTGCGGGTGTTCGTTAGTCGGGTGCTCGTAAGTCGAGGACTGTCTGTTTCGTGCTCAGACTATAAAGAAACGAGTGCAGAGATCATCTCTGAGCAATGAAATATTCTCGCGCGCAGGTGCCGGGTGGATAATTGATTCCATCGCAGGGATCGTGAGAGGTGTCAATGGCTTGGCGGAGTCCATCATCCAGCGGTGGATTGACAAACGGCTAATTGCAATGATTATTATTACGATTATTATTGAGGAAGGTTAGCCACCTAAACTTGTTCAGAAATGTTGTTTCTCTCCCCGTGAATGCGGTCAGTTATAGCGAAAACATAAAATACTTGATCTTATCTTCCAGATGGACAAATCCCTGTCTTCAAAGCTTGCAAACTAAGTTTGAGAGCATTAAAGCCATTAGCTCCGACCGTCTGTCTTACTGTAACTGGGGGGTCAAGATAACTCTTGGAGCGATGATGCAATATGAACGAAACTTGAGTGTACGGTTGCGCTGCTATTGGGGACTCGACCGATTGAAACCCAGCCATACAGATTAAAAGGGTAAATTCTAGTTTTGAAGTTTTCGTGACTGCAAGGATCCATACTCTTTGGTTCTTTCGGTAAAGTCACGTAGATGAAAAATAAAAAATATTGTTTTCATCTTCTTGGTTCTTTCGGTAAAGTCACGTAGAAGGGAAACAATAAAATAATAAAAATATAAAACAATAAAATTCTCACGACGTTTAGACTGCAACACAAGCAATCATCATCAGGTGTGAAAACCACACATTTTCTTGCTGTGGTTTTCACACCTGATGAGAATTTTATTGTTTTATATTTTTATTATTTTATTGTTTCCATTCTACGTGACTCTACCAAAAGAACCAAGAATATGAATCCCTGCAGTCACAAAAGCTTTAAATAAAAAAATATAACGATTAACTATTTGTTATTTGACCTTGTAAGGCCCACGCTGAGCTGTAGAACTCTTATTCAGAAGCGACCTGGCCACAAACGATGGCTCGACGCAGTGGCTCATCATATGGAAATTTATAGCAGCCAAGTACTCGAAACGCGTGATGATTCAAAATTCGGACGGGAAACCCCGGAGGACCTGGAGAAAAATCCACGCCACCATGGAGAGAAAGAGACACACACACACACAAACTACAAATATACAGCAAGCGTCAGGGTCGGGATCGAACCCACGACCTCCTGCATACCAGGTGAGGTCACACTCCACCCCCCGTGCCCGGAGTTCGTCCTGGCCACGTACGGTGAATGTGTCGCACGGCCAGGGACGTCGATTGTTCAATTAATCTCGGAATCAGCAACTGTTGACCCCCCCCGTACGTCCTCGGTAAAAAAGAAGCCCTTCGGACGCGCGCGCTGTGTTTACAATACGGCGCAAGTGTCCCCGCGTATGTGTCAGTGCGATTATTGATGACTTTACTCGATGCACTCAAAACGCTGATGTGTTGGATGACGACATATTCTGCTTTCGTCTGGGTGTCTCAGCAGCGGAACTGTGTAGCAAAGTGCTTCCTAATAATTGCGCAGAAGCCACAAATAAATACACAAGTACTCTGCATGCATTTGATTCGGGGGTGGGGGGGGGAAGGGGTGATGGGGAGCAAGCAATCTGAACTTTGAGTACGTGACAATGCAGTGGCTGTACGCACGGTGGCATTTTAAAATATATTAATCACAGCCCCTTTCCCGACTTTCGTAAATCACCGAGAGACACGCAAAGCCCAGATATACAGCGGGCATCGTCAGGCTCGGGATCGAACCCACGACCTCCTGCATACCAGGCGAGGGAGTTAACAGTTTTGTTTTTGTTTTGTTCACCGCTGAAACAGCAGCAGCAGCAGCAGCTGACCAATCGTTGCAGTTTTGTTTGGTGGTCCACGCTGAGTGCGCGCTGCGGGCTCAGCCGCAGCGATAAAGCCATCATCACCATCACTCAGCGCCGGTAATGAAGTACATCCCCACGTCGGCGGGCCTCGGAGACAATTGCCGCCGCGGCGCAACGCAAAGCAGCCGCTAATGATGCCGTGGACGCAGTAACGGGCGTGCAGCAGTGAGCAGGAGGAAGCGCCGAGGTGCCGCGATGGTGAAACACGCGAACACGGTGGGGGGGGGGGAGCTTTGTGTCCTCGTCGAGCTGCTGCTGCTGCCCGAGCCGTCTGTCACGTTTACTGAAATATTCCCACACGCGCGCGCCCTCTCCTTCAACCTCCGCGCGGTGCGAGCGGGTATTTATTGTACGGTGCATCGATGATGATGATGATTATGGTGGTGGGGATGCTGGGACCGGTTGTTGTTGTTGTTGTACTAGTGCAGCTGAGCTCCCGAGTGGCGAAATCGTGGATTGATATTCCACAGTTGAGATGGCATCGTCGGCATTGTCTTAATGATCACCGTCATCGTCATTGTCATCATACTTATCTTTAACGACAATGACTATGACGATGATGACGTCATCATCATCGTCATAGTCATTGTTATTGTTGCCGTCACACTTCATTGTGATTGCAGTGTGACGGCAACAATGACGATAATGTTTGCATCATCATCGTCATAGTCATTGTCATCGTCATTGTCATCACGGTCACTGTGTTTGCCATCATTATCGTAATCATTATCACCATCGTCGTTATCACGGAAACACTCGAAAATTGGCCGATAACGCCTCACTATTTCGAGGACCGCAGTGCTTGGGCAATTGTTGTTTGTTACTTTTTGTGTGTGTGTGTGTGTATGTTGAACTTCTTTAGCGCCGTGCGTAGCCAACCGTGCTCTGAATCAAAGTCGGCTTGGGCAGGACACGTCGCTCGAAGGGATGGTGACCGACGGTCAAGAACCATAACGGAATAGCAGCCGAGGGATGGAACGCGTCCGAGAGGACGGACTCGCGTCGGGGGAGATGGAGCGGTGAGATCGCTCCGTGGGGATGCGTTGTCGCGTCGCAAGATCGGCGGCTTGGTGACGGTTTCAACCAGCGGTGGATTGATAATAGCAGACCACGATGATTTTTTATATATTCCTCACCGGAGGAACGGGGATTCGGTTTATATCTTCCCACCACGGCGATGCCGGAACGAGAAGCGGCCATCGGTGCTTGCACTCAGAGGGAGGCTCAGTTGGCAGCGGGTGTCGTGCGTTTGCGCCCTCAACTCGAAATGGCAACAGCCTTGGCGGAGTGGGGGGCGGAGGGTGGAGCCAGGGGGGGGGGGGGGGCTGTCCCGAAGAGAAATGGTAAACTCTTCCTCCTCCTCCTCCTGCTGCTGCTGCTCGCAATGACGCGGCCGCGTGCTGCTGCTGCTGCTTCTCGCTGGAGGGAAATCCCCGTCACGTGCCGAGCGTGACGCACCCCACCACCACCACCACCCCCCTTGCATCCCCAAACATCGCCATCACCTCTAAACTCCTCCAGCTCCATCGCTCCTCCTTCTCCTCCCTCACTCCCTCCCCGCTCTTTGGCCCTACCCCTAGACTCCTTCCAGCAGCGCCACCACTGTTTGTTTGATCCTAACACCCGGCAAGCCCGCCCCACCACCACCTCCCCATCTCTCTTCTCTCTCTCATCCTCCTCGTACACAGACGCATCATCCCCGCCTATCCAGCACCACCCCACCACCACCACCCCCCCCCCCCCGTGCGCATAGCCGCTGCCGCCGCGTGGCGGATCCGCGCGCGTGCCTCGCTTAGTAACCACAACCACCACCACTAACAGCAGCAGCAGTAGCAGCAGCAGCGGCGGAGGCATCAGCGACATCAGCCAATGGCTTCGGAAGCTCGCGGGCTCGCTTGATCGTCCTTCTCATCCCAAAGTCTGCGTTAGATGCAGAGACGGGAGCCGTCCCGCGTCGCGGATTCCGCTGGTCCAGCACCGAGCGCATAGGATTCGATTTTCGTTGTTGTTGTTGCGTGAGCAGAGTAATTTGATAATTGGTTCGCTCGTAGTAATTAATTTATAAAAAATATATATATAATCGTCGTCGTGGGTCGGCTTCGTCCTTGTAACTTATGAAAAGAATCACGGGACGGGATCGGCTGGCTCTGTCGGCACAGGTGTTAATTGTCACGCGATGTCAATCAGAGCGACGTTTTTTTTTACACGAAATGTTGTTAGTTAATAAATAAGAATAATAATGTAACAATAAAATCGCACCTACCTAGAGCAAATGTAAAATCGCGACGTAATTTTTTTTTTTAATCGGATCGAGTCAAAAGCAATCTGGGAAGAGAGTTCGCGTGTTAATGACGTTCAGTTTTCACAGCGGCTGCACTGACGAACCCGTAAGGAGTGCTCTGAGCACAGAAGACGTTCACTTTGGGGGGAATAGTTAGGCGCAAGGCTTGAGCCGGACGTAGTTTGTCCTCTGCTGTATTCGCATGTGCGGGTGAACCTTGAGGCAGCGATCATTGAGAGGTAAGCTGCGTTGCTCGTGAATTCATGGCATCGCACACTCATCATCATCATCGCCGCCGCCGCCGCCGTCATCACTGCGGGAGTGTGAAGGACAGCTAAGATCGCCGCCACCACCGCTGCTTGCAGTGTAGGAGACGGGGAGTCGTGGAGAACACACGGCTTCGAGGTAGACAGCAGAGAGGGAGGGAGCGTGGTGACAGGGAGAGACATGCAGAGTGTAGGGGACGCACTGAGAAGGACCTAGACACGGACAGACGAGGAGAGTGAGAGACAGCGATAAGAGAGTGAGACGCACACGCAGAGACAGAGAGATACCGACACACACGCAGGCAGTGGGCAGAGGCGGACACGGAGAGTCAGGGACAGCACACGGTGAAGGCAAGGTGAAGGCAAGGTGAAGGCAGGCAGACGGAGACTGAAGCTCAGACGGGACATAGGCTGCGCGACTCAACCAGCAAGAAGGACAGCACCACCAGCACCACCAGCAGCACCACCACCAGCACCACCAGCACCACCAGTAGCACCACCAGCACCACCACCAGCACCACCACCAGCACCACCACCAGCACCACCAGCAGCACCACCAGCACCACCAGCACCACCACCAGCACCACCAGCAGCACCACCACCACCAGCACCACCACCAGCACCACCACCAGCACCACCACCACCAGCACTACCACCACCAGCACCACCAGCAGCACCACCAGCACCACCACCACCAGCACCACCACCAGCACCACCACCAGCACCACCACCACCAGCACCACCACCACCAGCACCACCACCAGCACCACCAGCACCACCACCAGCACCACCAGCAGCACCAGCACCACCAGCACCGCCAGCACCACGACCACCAACACCACCACCACCAGCAGCACCAACAGCGCTCAATCAACCCCGCGGAGGAGACAGAAAGAGAGTGGGGGGGGAGGCGGTGGTGGTGGTTGCAGAGTCCTGGGCCCTCTGTGATCGCGATCCCTCGACCTCACGCGGGGAGAGAGGAGAGAGAGGGGGGGGGAGAGTCAAGGAGGTGAGAGCGCTGTAGTGCAGTGGCTCCCGTCCCGTGCTGTCCTGCCCCGTACATCATCATCATCATACCACCATCATCATACCACCATCATCATACCACCATCAGCGTCGTCATCATCGTCCCTCTCGTTTGCCTTGACGTAGTTATTACCCTCCCATCCCACCGGTCATCCCTCCCTCCCTCCCTCCACGTCGACCCGGTCATCGGGGGATGAAAAAGGGAGAATCCCCACCCCCCCCCACCACCACCAAAAGGCACTCTGCGAATCCGCTTGCCTCATGCATCCGACGTGAGAGGAGGCGCGTGGCACCTGACGAGGAGGGAGCTGCCCTGAGCCCCTGGACCCCACCCCCCACTCCCCACTGTCTCTGCCCTTGAAGTCTGCTGCACCGGCGTCTGCTACCCCCCGCTGTGAGTCCGCCACGCACCTTTGCTCCAGGTACACAAATCGCGCGTTTGCGATTTCCTCCTCTCTTCTCTCCTCCTCCTCTCTCTCTCCTCTCCTCCTCTCTCCACCTCTCTCTCGCGTTGAGGCCCTCACGCCAATTCGCCCGCGCGCTGCGTCCGGCGCAAAATAAAAAGATGTGTGGGGGGGGGGGGGGGGGTTTGGAGATCCGCACGCGCGCGCGCACGTACACACGACCTACGTGCGTGCGAATTTACCGTTCAGTGATGTGTATATTGCACGTGCGCGTGTGGGGAGCGGTGGTGCAGCGGCTAGCGCTACGCCGCGCTACGAACCCGGCGACCCCGGGCTCGATTCCCGCTCACGGCAAACACCCAGAGACGATTATCTGAACCGGTCCTAGAGGCCAAATGAGTACCTGGTGCGATGTCTAATAAACATCGCCACTGGGGAGACAAAGGCGGCCGGGCGTGGTGCTGACCACCCACCCCTTCGTGCGCCGTGCCGGCCTTTATAGGCGCTCGCTAACAGCACTTGCCCCAACAGTCTGTTAAGGCTATACGGGGGATCTTTGTACGGCCTTGCACACAACCAACGTATAAACTGAGCCCCTTTGTAAATCTACTGCTGGATGAGGACGTCCATCACCCCCCGCCCGCGCGGTGCGCTGCGTCGGTGTCTTTCCCCCGCACCTCCGATGAGCACGGTTGTCTACGTACGGTGCGAAAGAAGTTCAACATGCGTACACATACACGCGTACATCGGTGGCGGCAATTTTGACCGTAGACTCGCCACGCTACGATACTCGCATCGAACTTAAAGCACGATCACAGCGATGCCCTTTAATTGAGCAGGGAAAAAGCCTGACTGAGCATCTCGACTCGTGTTCACGTAGGGGAGGGAGGGGGGGAGTCTCCTTCCTGCATTGGGATGTTTGACGATGTCCATCCGTCAGTGCGCGCGCGTGTGCGCGTGCGTGGCTTATGTCGGTTTGTGAACATCGCCACTGGGGGAGGCAAAGGCGGCCGGGCGTGGTGATGCTGGCCACCGGTCCCACCTCGTGCGCCGTGCCGGCCCTCGTAGGCGCTGCTGTTTCGCTGACAGCACTTGCCCCAACAGTCTGCGAAGAGGCTACACGGGGGATCTTTGTCGTTGCCTCGTGGCATGCGCCGTGCATGCGAAAACACGGGCGCAGCGCGGACGTGGCACGTGACCGCGAGGTGGTTCTGACGCTGGTGAGCAGAAGAGGTGATTTTAACGATGTTATTTTAACGATGTGATTTTAACGAGGTTGAGGCTCAGTTGGCTGGGTGGCTGCAGAGACTTGGGAGCCGCTACCGCTGTGACAAAAACAAAACAAAGAAAAACCCCCGAGTTCGAATCCAGGCAGCTGCCCGGGATTAAACCGGGTTCTCCATTGTCGTGAGTGACTACACATCGCAGCTCTCGCTTAACAATCTTGGTGGGGGGGGGGGGGGGGGGGTTTGACCGCCGTGCGAACGTCAAGTGGCAGAGCGCATGAGTTGACAAAGCGCTGCACGTCCTCCACTGTGTGAAGCAGAGGTCGCGTGAAGGCACATTGGTAGGTGGCTCTGCGACAGCCACTTCTGCCTTGGGCTCTCCGAACGCGAGCGGGGAGGGTGGGGGGGGGCTCGGCAGCGATAACGGGGGTCCTTCCAGCGATCGCGACACGATCTGGGGACGTTAGCGCGACTGTGGATCTCGTCGTCGTGGGCGAGCGCACTGTTTGTTCGTCTCTGCTTCATCCGTAGCGCTCTGGTTTCACGACTTGCCGCACTCCATGTGGCCGTCGTTATGGCTGCTTGATGTAGACGCAGAGCGACGTCTGCACCGTCACGCTCAGGTGGGTCGAGCCACAGAGAGCCGCGTCAGCAGCGGCGGAGTGTAAATCCCCGTGACGACGTTTCCGTCGTATTTTGTGCATCTCGGGGCATTGCGTCGTCACGCGTTGCGCTACGGGTCTGTTCTGGACGACCCCAGTCGCACCACTATTGCTGGAGAGTGTTGAATTTGCCATTTGTGCAAAAAACACATGTGTTGCAGGCACAACAATGCCCTCGCCCCCCCCCCCCCCCCCCCCAAAGAAAGAGAGAGAGAGGCGTCCGCGGATTAACATCTTTAACATATTCTAGATTTGAAGCTTTCGCGACTGCAAGGATCCTTACCCTTTGGTTCTATTCGGTAAAGTCACGTAGGTAAATAATAAAACAACAATAATCACGACGTTTCGGCCACAACACAAGTGGCCTTCATCTTTAACATATCTTCTTTGGTTCTTTCGGTAAAGTCACGTAGAATGAGAATAAAATCATAAAATAACACAATAAAATTCTCACGACGTTTCGGCCACAACACAATTGGCCTTCTTCAGGTGAAAGGACCAAACCTGTCGGGACGACAGAACTTCAAACGCTTTAAATCGAAATTTAAAAAATCTTTAACATATTCAATTTACGGAGGACATTCTACCTTCGACGCGTAATTCCTCGCGTGGTTGCCGAACCTGCCGCGTTCATTACGCGGTGCGCCTTGAGGAGCCCTGTTGCTCGCGTCCTAGAGACGCGACACGTTGGGGAATCATCTGCCGTGGTGCAGGTGTCACTCGCGCACATCGCCACTTGTGAATTGAGCTCATCGATTGCTGCCCACACTATGGCGAGACCTTTACAATTACGCAACGCATGCACGTGTGCGTGTGTGTGGTGTGTGTGGTGTGCGTGTGTGTGTGTGGTGTGGGGAGCGGTGGTGCAGCGATTAGCGCGCTGCGCTACGAACCCGACGACCCGAGTTCGATTCCCGCTCACGGCCAACACCCAGTGACGATTATCTGAACCTGTCCCGGGCCTCCCCTAGGTCGACTCAGCCTCAAATGAGTACCTGGTGCGGTGTGTAAACATCGCCACTGGAGAGACAAAGACGGTCGGGCGTGGTGCTGGCCACCCACCCCCTCGTGTACCGTTCCGGCCTTCATAGGTGCTCGCTAACAGCACTTGCCCCTACAGTCTGTTAATAGATGCCCAGGACTGATTTCAGATAATCGTCACTGGGTGTTGACCGTGAGCGGGAATCGAACTCGGGTCGTAGGGGTTCATAGCGCTACCCGCTACCCCCCTACCCCCCCAAACAACACACACAAAGACAAATACAAAGATCCCCCGTATAGCCTGAACAGACTTTTGGGGGCAAGTGCTGTTAGCGAGTAGCACTTGTGAAGGCCGGCACGGCGCACGAGGGGGTGGCGGCCAGCACCACGCCCGGCCGCCTTTGTCTCCCCACACACACGCACCCCTTGTCGTATGTACAGTAAGGTCCAGATGTCTTGTGACTCCAATCCCACCCCAATGAATTGACCCCTAAAATGTTTTTCCTTTCCATATAAATTTCTGTCTTTAAAAAAACCTTCAAAAAAATAAATAAGTTTTATTGAATAAAATGGGGGGGGGGTCACAAGACATATGGACAGGACCACCCCTAGTACAGGACTGTATATCGGAGTACTACAGCAGCGGTCAACAAAACACGCTTCTGGCTTCTCAGCACGAGCCTCCTGGATTCGTTCGCCGGTCGTAGCGTTTTTGAAGGCGGAGTTCGGTACAAAAACAACAACAACAACAACAAAACCGAAACCAGGGGGGGAGCACCACCCACCAACCGCAGACAGCCCAAGCTCTGCGGCCTTCCATATAGTAAGATGGTTTCAGGCAATCGATGAGTTGTTTATACACGCGGGAGGCAACCAGCGTGCGAGGGGGAAACGCTCTATCCCGTACAGACAGAATGGGTGGGAGATCAGTCCACGTCTTCTGCACCGCCTTCTTCTGGCTGCTCCTCATTGCCCACGGGAAGGGAGTTTCACACAAAGTCTGTGCGATCCTCCAACCTTCGCTGCTGCCACGTCAGTGCTGGATTGCAGGCGTGCGTAGCCACCACTGGCCGGCTGATAACTTAGGCGTGGTGGGTACGTTTGATGAGTTGAGGTCGGTACGGGGAGAGCAGTGGTGCGGCGGTTCTCACGCTGAGCAATGATCCTGGGGTCCCTAAGTTCGATTCCCAGGACGGTCGCCACGTGTCCGGGTTTAGCTCAGTCCGAAAACTGGCCGGGGTTCATCAGACAGAGATCTAGTAACCGGCGTTGTCTTGAACTTTAATACGGGATGCTGCGCATGTAGTGGTGATAATAGACCTGGGTCGGTGGCCTTCATTGCAAGGCCCCACGGGCCACGGGCGGGCCCCTGGTGGCCTTTAGTGCGGCCCTTGGCATGCGGCCACCCGACAAAACACAAAGAGTGAAGTTACCCCCCATCATCATCGTCGTCGTGCTCCCGTGAAACCCAACGGTGGTTTCAAATTTGTGGCGGCCCTCACACTGATGATGTCTTGTCGGCGAAAGTGGCCCCGCACTATGAAAATTAGTGAAGAAACACTGAGCTGGGCAGACTGAGAGACATGTCTGGGTTTGGTCTGTATGTATGTTGAACGTCGTTTGCACCGTGCGTAGCCAAACGTACTAATCAGAGGTCTACAATGGAAACGAGGGAGACCATAATTTCCAACCACGGCTAACATCAGCGGCGAGTGATACCACTGGTCGGTGAGATGAGCTATGATCCAACAATTCTCATAGTCAACAATGTGTGTGGAGGACTTCATCCAGCAGCGGATTGGCAGAGGCCTGTAACATTTAAGACACGGGCTTTTGGGCCAGATTAAGTTGTTGCACACTGCAGGGACAGGGCGTCGAGAGCAATTGGTGGCTGGGAGAAGCGAGTTTCAGACTACAACACTTGAGAACCCAGTTTACTCGCTGGCGGTTGCCGGGATTGGTCAAACTCTGACCTCTGGGCCACTCGGCGACTTCTATATCACAGGTTTTTTGTAAATCCTCGCTTTGGTCATTTCCATGTAAAAATGTAAAAGGTATCTGGGTCAGGAATGGAACCGTAACTTCAATGCTTGCTGGCCCAGTAGGGATGAGAAAATATAT